CAGGACCCCAGTCATCTTCTTCCCATCCCATAGTTTCTGTCCCTTCATCCCCGCCCAGTCGCTAGGCACCTGCGAAGCAATGCCTTGTGCGTTCCCCATTAGCCGCATTTGGAAGATCGGAACTGGTTCATTTTATCTTCTTCCCTGAATCAGATTAACCCGACTCCAATCTCAACCAATTTCCATTTTCGATTTTGATAAACCATAAGCCTTAACCTTCCAATCTCAGCCACCTTCTCGAATCCAAAAATAAGGGAGTACGAAGTTCACATACGGAGAAAGGGATGAAGAAATGTTGGATTCTTATCACAAATGAAACACAAACGGTGAATGACAGTGGTGAAAACAAGCAGTGGTTAGGTGAGTGGCCGATTTATTTGCTCTCATTTCCATTCTCTTGTTCTTTTCTTCCTTTCTTGTTGGTTTCATTGGCCGTGGCCGCGACTTTGGTTGTAGAAGCTATCATGAACGACACTTTAAATGTTTGTGTTAATGGTTGGATGTTAAATGTTTGTGTTAATGTTTGAATGAAGGGTAGATGATGTCAAGGTTTTGTGTATTTTAGTAGTGGATTTTGATTACATGCTAATTGTTTGTGCTAATGCTTATGTGAGGAGTAGACATATCTGGTTTTTGTATTGTAGCTATGGTATTAATTGATGTTCGGTGAAGAGGAAATGATGATGTTGATTTTGATTGTGCTTGGGTAATTTTTGTGTAGAATTTTTTGTGTAACTGCATATTTAAGAGCTTAAGTTGCTTTGGTATGACTTCTAAGAGTTCTTTGTTTAGTGTAGGTTTAGTGTCTTTCTTGGCTAACAAATACCTAACTGCAACGTGGTTTGTAAAGACAACTATCCTAGACCCAAGAAGATAAGATCGGAACTTACCAAGGGAAAACACTACTGCAAGCAACTCTTTCTCCGTAGTGGTGTAATTACATTGAGCATCAGAGAGGGTCTTACTTGCATAGTAGATCACAACAAGCTTTTTATTCCCCTGTTGGCCAAGGACTGCATCAATCGCATAGTCCGACGCCTCACACATCACTTCAAAAGGTAGGTTCCAATCAGGAGGTTGCATGATGGGTGTTGTGGTCAACGCTTCTTTCAAAATGGTAAAGACAATCATACAAGAGTCATCAAAAACAAATGGCACATCTTTAGCAAGCAAATCACACAAAGGCTTGGAGATCTTGCTAAAATTCTAGATGAAACGCCTATAAAATTCTGCATGGCCTAGGAAAGATCTAATTTGTTTGACCGACGAAGGCGGTGGTAGTTGAGAAATCAACTCTACCTTTGCCTTATCCACAGCTATCCCCTTCTTGGAAACTACATGACCTAAAACAATTCCCTCTTGAACCATAAAATGGCTCTTTTCCCAACTAAGAACAAGATTTGTCTCTTTACAACGTTTCAGCACCAACTCAAGTTTTTCGAGACAATCATCAAAAGATGCACCAAACACAGAAAAATCATCCATGAAGACTTCGAGGAATTGACCCACCATGTCAGAAAATATCGATAACATGCACCTTTGAAACGTTGCCGGTGCATTGCATAACCTGAAGGGCATGCGACGAAAGGCAAACGTGCCAAAAGGACATGTNATATAAATATGAATAAACAAAGCAAAAAATAGAATGAATGGAAAGAAAATACCATCACCACGATTGTTGGTTCGGCCTAATTTGAAATGGAGATAACCAGCATCCCCCAATCTCTTCTCATAAATATTAACAAGCTCTTCATTTCCCACCCAAAACTCCCGAATCAATCAATTCGTACCCATTATATCATTATACTACATTCATTTAAAAAGAAAAATTCAACCAGAATATTAAAAAAAGACAAATAATTGAAGATCTTTCACACAACAACCAGTCCAACATTCTTTGACAGCTTCTACAACCCAAACACAATCACTTCTTACAAACTTTTTTTCACCGATAGCTAGCTTGTAATGGGTTGCACTTGATAAATTGTGGTTGAGTAATTGCGAATTGCTACATTGAGGGTTATGAAAGAAAGTTTGTGAAAAGAAGTTGTGAGCGTAGCATTACTAAAAAAAAAAAAAAAAAGAACACTCGTCTAAAGAAAGACCACCATTTGCAGTTGCAAAATTCTTCTTTCTCAATAATTTCCATTTAACATTTTCACAATTTTCAGTTGCTCTCTTTCAACAGTCCTCACAAACCACTGTGGTTTTCTTGTTTGTTAATGCAATATTTTTTTATTTTTTTTTTTTACTTTCCAATAAAACCAGCATGAGTTATTGTGTTCTTCATGGAGTGTTGGTGTTGACTCTGGTGCCTCATCATTGTTACATTTTTTTTTTTGACAATGGTCATCGAGGTAAGCTTTTCAATTGGATAGAAATCTTTCCAGCAAGTTTGTTTGCAGAAAGGTCTAGCAATTGAAGTTGGTGGAATATAACCAGTTAGAAAGTTGAGCACTATGAGTGAGTTAAGCTTTCCAATGACTGGAGAAATTTCGCCCTGAAATTGGTGGTTTAACAAATCAATAGTTGTGAAAATAGTCAGATTTCTGTCCATCTTTCTGCTAACTCCTTTCACTGAGAAAACCACAGAATCTTGATAGTGATATCCTCCTATATACTTTTGTTATCCCCTTGCATCATTGATTTAAAATTTTCGAAAAAATTTGACCAGAAATTATGTTGTCGGAAAGGTCTAAAGTCATCAAATTTATTGAAGCTCTTAAGAAAACTAGAAATTCAGTTATGTTGGAACAAGTGAAAACAAATGTGCCAAAAGTTGTCACTAGCATTGGATGTTAAGGACAATTGGCTGTTATAGGAAGGGTCAACCCTCGTGAGATTTTCGAGCTTGAAGAACATGTCCGACTTTACGATGCCACTCAAGATTTAATATAACCAAGGTAATATGTTTACTAGCTGTGTTAGGTAATTTTCCTGAGAAACTTGTGTAAGACAGATCCAAGATTTTGAGAGGACTACTCCAGATAGACTTTGGCAAATAGCCTATGAGATCTTTATTGCCTGATAAACTTAGCTTTCTGAGGAATTTGAAAGTCGAAAATGCCATCCGGAAACTTCCCTTTTAGTCCACGACGACTAAGGGTTAAAGATATCAAAGAGGAAGACGAGTTCATCAAGGATTCAGGTACAACTGAAAACTGTGTTGGTCAAGTAGTAGAACGTCATTGTAAGAGAGATAAAGTGAAACCAATTTTGGCAAGTGAGAGATTGCTGAGGAAACATGACCATAAAATAAGGAAGAAGAAAGATTAAGATGTGTCAACTCTGTGAACAGACAGAAATTTGAGACAATTCTGGAATGGCTAAAATCATTGCAAGCAAGACTGAGCCTCAGGAGATGGTGAAGGAAGAAAAGAATGCTATTGCCTATTGGCATGGATAGTGCCATGTACCCAACTATGACTAAACCTGAGGCCAATTACATGACTTGTCAGCCTATCACAAGTCACCCCATCCCATAGGCAACACTCATTACCCTTCTTCCAGGAGTTTGTCTTAGGAAGACAACCAACAGGGTTGCTACATACAATGACTTTAAGTGAAACGATTGGTTGTAATGGAGTAAAGCAGAGGTTTCTTGAAGAAAGCAAATTTTTACTGATACGGGAAAATAATTGAAAGACGAAGAACAAATAACTCGAAGATGCAAGAAATAGAAGCTGATGAGAAGTAGATACTGTGACATTATTCTCCACATCTTTTTCTTTTCAGGAAACATGAAATGAGAAAGGTGTTTCCAATGTTTCCTAAGCCTTCAGCAAGGGACGCAGTCAAAATTTGAGTAAGTGAGGTCAAAACATCAACTATAAACCTAAACCTCAAATCTTATAACTTAGGTTTTTTGAACAATTTATACTAATCCAGTAAAATTCAACTCATAAACCCTTGAAAACTCATTAAATCCAACTCTAAATATTAAACAATTAACATATATATCAAAATTAAACCAAATCCTTAAATCCTTACAACTTAAGGTTTCATCAATTTTTTAAACCCATTCAAAATTAACTCAATAACTAAAATTATCAAAACCTACTTAAAACAATAACTAATTAACTCATACTAAACATAACAAGATTAAATCAAAACTCACATAAAAATCTAGAAATTTAATTCCAATTCAAACTTATTTATTAACTCAACAAAAACTCATGTTCATAATCTTTCATCAATTAGAAAGCTAAAAGAAAAAATTTATAAGCCAAAAAAAAAAAAAAAAAAAGGAATAGCTTTTCTTGAATAATCCAATCAAAGGAAGAAGAAAATATGATTTAAAATGAGAGGAAACGAATAATAAATAAAAAGTAAAAAAGTATTATTACAAATTTTTGTGAGGCAAATATGAATTTAAGTAAGGTTAAGATTGTAAATTCCATAATACATAAAGCCTTTTTGATATATTTTTTTCAAACGTTGAGTGGGTTCAATTGAACCCATAAGTGTGGGTGTGGCTACGTACCTGCCTTCAGCAATTTATACTGCCTCAACCTGGCACTGTAATCCGACTGAACAAAACAAATGCTTGTTGTCTAGTTTATATTTGCGATGATATTGATGGACAAATCATGAAGATCTAAATGCAACAACCCTGTATTATGCACTGATTTCTTAGTAAAAAAAAACCATTCCATTTTAAACACAATTATTATTGAGGGTCTATTTGATACGATTTCTTTAATATTAATTCAACAACCAGCATAGCACCTCTGTCGCAACAGGGATTAGAAAGAAAAAAAAAAAAAAAAAAAATTCTTGTCAATGTGTATCCTCAGGTCTAATTTACCCACCAAGTTAAAAATTAGGTAATGACAAAGATCAAGCTATTTCTCAACATTGATTAGAAAAAGGGCTTAGTTTGGTATTGTCACAGCTTTTTTCATACGTATGAACCAACCTTTATAATAATCAATTTTAATTATGTTATATATATATATATAATATAATTCTTTAAAATAAAAAGAAATTTAATGACAAAATCTAAAAAAACACTGGCCATGGGGGCTGTCCAACCACTGTCTCCTATAACGTGTCTGACCATATTGCCAGCACCATCTTCAAATTATGTGTTCTTCCTCTTTCAATAGTTCTTCTCCATCTTCAAAACTTTCCTAAGATCTAACCATGGGCTCAAACGTAATGTGTCTAACGCAACGAAAATTACAAGGAAAACCTGAGTAGAAAAGAGAGAAAAACAACTTTATCCCCTAAGTTTCTGCAGAGGAAGCAAAAAGCCAAATACTAAATTCAAGTTTACACACCTCAATCAATGATGATGACCTTAAGAAACTCTTGCTTTTAACCATTTATCAACAAGATGAGCTGCTTGCATTATTGTATTTCTTAGGTTCAGTTGATCCAATGTAGATATGTGGAATGCGAGCAATTTTCGACCAATCCTTGGTGAGATTTTTCCGGCAGCGATTTTCAAGCCTTGGACATTCCCAGATGGATACATGTTGGAGGCTAGTCAAAAGATGCAGTCCTTCTGGAGTGAAACTATGCCATGACAATCTGATAATGCTGAAAAAGTAAGACCATAAAGGTTTCCAATCCATCCGGTCAAATTTTCGAAAGCAGGCAGCTGTGGATTTCCAAGCTTTGAATTTTTTGATGGAAAGGGATCGCCCCAAATTCAAACCTCGAAAACCTTTTGGCAAAGTTATAAGGTTGATGCACTCACTAATCTCCAAAAAAGCATCATCCAAAAAAAAAAAAAAAAAGGGTTACAACAATCACTCTTGGAAAGTATGGTATTAGTCTCATATTAGCTTTGAGATCTCCACTTCGAAGTTATCCCAAGAGGCATCAATGTCATTCATGATGTTATCACATTTTTGCTTATCCTTCTCCAAGGCATCAAATCTATGATTGTATTGACTCAGAGCATTTTTGGATGTTCACAATGATTCCGCAAGACTCCTGGCTTGTTCCTATGAAGAAGCAATACATTCATTTTTCTGCTGAAGTTGCTTTCTTAGGTCCTCTTTCTCCTTCGTTGCAGCCTCCTCAAAAGTTGCTGCTTCTTGATCGGACTCAAAGATACTAGTCATGGGTTCTAATGGTGGAGCTGTTTTCAAGAAAGAAGCAGTTTGGATAATCTTATATACAAACTAATTCACACAAGGAGGAGCCTGGAAAATTTAGCTGCAACATCTATTATATCATTTGAGCAGTAAGGAATTCCATTGCCTTCAAGATTAGAACCAGGATTTTCAGTTGTTCATTGGGCTGATTCAAGTGAGCCAACATCATGCTCTTCTTCTGTTTTACCATCCTCGTATGCAGATTAAGGATCTTGAGTGTCTGCAATTACTTCTGGAACCTAATTCAACAACCACAATTGTTCTGATGGAGTCTCAAGCATCACCTATAGTCGAGAATGAATCTTGTGCAGCGCCCTGCAAATAGAAAAAAAAATATATATAAAAAATTTAAATTCAAAGTGAATGCATATAGAAGTTAAAGCATATTTTTTATCAAGATCTGAGAAGAAATGAATTACCTCACTCTCTAGATTGGTTGAAGGTAAAGAGCTAGCATGGCTTCCGGCAGAAGCTTGAAAAGAGGGATGTGGAGCTACTAAAGGGATCAAAAAAATGTTGGAAATATCTGGTGGAGAAGTTGGCAAAGATGCTGTAGATTTAGCAGAATTATCTGGGAGGGAAGGAATCTATACCAGCAATAAAAGAAGTTAAAAGAAACTGAGCGTAAAGAATTTTCATTCATATATCGGAAGGGGAGAAAGTTACCATGGTTAAAGGAGGTGCAGTCGGTTGTACTGAGGGAGCAGAATCTTGGTCTTGGAATGAAGAAGAAATGGAAGCTAGTCCTGGTTCCAATGCCATTGCAGGCTCATCTATCAAAATGAAAAAAAAAAAACAAAATGATATGTTAGCTGAGATAAAAATTGAAGTGAACATAAAGCAATTAAGGAAAGAAATTACCGGCGGTTTCCTCAACTAAAAGGGTCCTGACTTCCGTTGTCTCATCGACAGTTGCTTCTTCTTGATCAGACTCAAAGATACTAGTCAAGGGTTCTAATGGTGGAGCTGTTTTCAAGAAAGAAGCAGTTTGGATAATCTTATATACAAACTAATTCACACAAGGAGGATCCTGGAAAATTTACCTGCAACATCTATTATATCACTTGAGCAGCAAGCAATTCCATTGTCTTCAAGATTAGAGCCAGGATTTTCAGTTGTTCGGAGGGCTGATTCAAGTGAGCCAACATCATGCTCTTCTTCTGTTTTACTGTCCTTGTAGGCAGGTTAAGGAACTTGAGTGTCTGCAATTACTTCCGGAACCTGATTCAATAGCCACAATTGTTCTGATGAAGTCTCAAGCGGCAACAAGCAATCCACTATTTGGCATCCTTTCTCTCAAACATTCCAATGATTACTTTCTGCTTACACAAACTGTTGTTTCAGTTTGGTAATAGTCTAATTTTGTATGAAAAACTACATCATTAAATGATTTTCTTCCACGCAATTCCTTTCATTTGCTTGATCAATGTAATTTTCTAACAAAACCAGCTCTCTAGCAATCCACTATTTGGCATCCATGGAATGAAAAGAAGAGCAAATAAGTCAAAAGCAAGCAAAGAAATATTAAATATAACAGATCCAAATACGCCATAACAAAAATCACAATACAAGTCTGCAGAAATAATGCATGTTCAATGGTTCATTCATCACAGCCCCAGAATTATTTACTCTAAAATTAGTGAATCCTAATTTTGGATTTTATATGTAAAAATACATACATGTTTTGTTATATCCTTATGCAGAATGCCAGCCTTCTGACCAAGCCCCACCTGAAATCGCCACATTCTAATTAAGGTTGTCTATAATATTTTTATAAATTATTTTACTTAACTAAATGGTACTTCTATATATGCAGTTGGCCTCTTTAGCAGGCCATCTTTCATTCTCTGAAACAAATCCTCACATTCTCCCTACAAAAAATACTACTAGAGTAACTATTTGCTTTGCAAGAACTAAAATAAATTATCACTAGTCATAAATGATCAATGGAAACCATTTTTGGAAAAAAAGTTGAAAAATCAACATTTTGTCACTCTTATACAAAATAAGTTTTCCAGTTTGCCTTAAATGTACAAATAGTTTCACTTCAATATCTCCATTCTTTCAAAAGGAAAGCTATATGAATTCCAACAATATTTTTACCTTAGTAAAGTCATCATCCAACAACTTTCTGATCAATATCTCTTTTTCAATATTCGAAACATGAAGGAGGATTTCTGCATTCACGCTTGAGGTTCTCTGGGTGCCTGTAATCATCCAGCTTGTCAAAACAATGTAAAGATGGAATTGACTTTAATATTTCATTTAAACAAATGAAAATGTAAATTGTGTAAAAAATTATCAATGAATGCCTGCTTAAAAGACAATTCACATTTATCTTGAGACAATCACCTGTAACTTGCACAAACTGGCAGGCATTTCTCTCCAAATGGTCACTTTGGTCAAAAATCATTCACAGTCTCCTGCAATGTCACCATTCCGGTTATTTCACTGCAAAACCTAGTTGAAAACAGGTTTGTATAACAAAATTTCTCATCCTTTGCACTTAAGCGGCTACCATTATTGTCATAGTTGAAAAAAGAACCATTCAACAATTTCTCAGATACAACTTCTGCTTACTGAAATTTGCACCAGAAATAATCCTCAGACCCTTAAAGACCTACTTCATGTGCAAACGCTGATGCGGCCTGCAATGCTGCCATCTGCACTATTTGCACTTAAAACAGAGACAGATCACGTATCGTATGTCTTATCAGAGAAGCCATCATTCTCAATCATCCCCATCACCCTCCCTATCAAATTCGAACAGATGAAAGTGTTTTCTGAACTTTTTTCTTACTGTAACCAAAGTAGATCATTTGGGCAGCTGGATGAACTTTTGCAGGATCCTACTCCAGAAAAAGTATAATACTCACTAAAGTTTTATCACGTAAACTTCAATTTCGCTTTTGGACCGGAAATTGAGGAAGCTGGTTCAAACATTCACGATAATTTTCAGCCTTCATTAGTAACTGCATGACTAAGGACATTGTACATTCAGTTGGCTTCACATTTCTCTCCACCATCTTATGAAGGAGTTCAACAACTTGTGGTATCTTATTATTCTTGAGCAAACCGAACATGAGCGTAGTAAATGTGATTATATCTGGAGCACAACCTATTTCCTCCATATGTGACAACAACTCATTTGCCTTTTCTAGTTGTCCATTGTTACAAAGCATATTGATCAAAATGTTATAAGTGGCTACGTTTGGAGTAGTTCCCGAACTCTTCATTTCGAAATACAATTCTATCGCCTTCTTAACTAATCCAGCCTTCCAAAGACCATCAATTATAGTACTATAAGTAACAACATTTGGCCTACAAATAACACCAGATTCTTCATTTCCCTTGGCCAATTCTTTAAGCAACTTAATGGCAGGACTTATCTTCCCTGTTTTACACAATCCATTCATTAAAATGCTGTAAGTATAAACGTCAGGAACCACACCTCTCTGAATCATAATCTCCAACAACCTATTTGCTTCGTGCAATTTCCCTTTCTTGCAACGTTCATCTATGAGCACACTAAACGTCACCACAGAAGGCTGCACACCTTGATCTATCATTTCAATAAATAAACTTCTACCCTTCTCCCAATCACCCACACAACAAAAACCATGAATTAGAGTGGTATAAGCGACTGTGTCTGGACTGATTCCAGAACCCTTCATTTTCAAAAACAATTCTCTAGCCTTCTCACTTAATCCAGACTTACAAAGACCATCAATTATAGTATTATAAGTAACAACATTGGGCCTACAAATAATACCAGATTTTTTATTCCCATTAACCATCTCTTCAAGCAACTTAATGGCAACACTTATCTTCCCCGTTTTACACGATCCATCAATCAAAGTGTTGTAATTGATCACATTAGGCCTACAACCAGCAGCAACCATTTTCTGAAACAATTCCATCGACTCCACAATCTCTCTCTACACACAAACCTTTGATCAAACAATTAAAAATCACAGCATTTGGGCTGAAACCCTTCTTCAAAATCTCCCCAAAAACCGCAAAACCATCAGAAACCCCTTCAATTTTACACAAGCAATCCATCAAAACGGTCAAAGACATTAAATCTGGAGACAACCCAATTGAATTCAACCACTTATAGAGCGAAAGCACTTCATAATAATGCTTTTTCTTTGCAAGTGCACTAAACAAAGTAGTGAATGATGAAATTGGAAAAATGGGTTGCGAATTAATCATGTAATAGAAAAAGTACAATGCTTCATTCAGGGTAAAGTTACCTGATCGACAATTTTCTTCGAGGAATTTAGCAAGTGAGGATCGTTCAAGGCGTTTTTCGAAAGAATACAAAACTTCATTATTGGAGCTTGAAGTTGTGAGGTTGTGTAAGTGAGCTAACAAAGATGAAATATTAGCTTTCAGAGATGGGTTTCGAGAGACTGAAGACGAACGAAATGGGGATCTCAAAGCCATGTAGGAAGAGTGTTTTCCAGGTTCAGGGGCGGATGATTGCTTTTCGGTTTCAGGGGTTTTTCTATAATACCAAAATTATCCAGTTGATCAAACAAAATGCAAACCAAACCAGCTAAAGTTTGTCCTTGTAAGATTATAAGATTTAAATAAATCCTGCTATTGAAATTTGAATCTAATTTACAATTATATTAAAAATGTTTTTTTCTATTTGTTCTTCAAAATTTTAAATATATCAAAATTTATATTTCACATACAGGAAATGTGATATATTAAAAATTAAAGATATTGATTTTACTTTTTAAAAGTTATATGAATAATTTTTTCATATCAGATTAACAAAATTATTAGGCTAATTATATTTGTTGAAATATTTATACTACTAAAATAATATTATACATAATTAATTATGATTACTAATTTTATATTATATAGAAGAGTTATATTTAGGGAAGTTTGATATAATAAAAATAATCTAATATATGAAATAATAAAAATCTTTAATGTTAAATTATAAAAGTTAAAATAATATAACGATAACAATTTAATAATACTTATTAATTTATAAATATATGTTTTAACTGCAGACTAATAGTTTATCAATAACAAATGGAATTTTATTATTTCAAAAATCTTAAGAGAATTTATGTAATTATAGTAAACATCAAAACAGTTGACTTGATATCTTAACTCTTTATGATACTATTATAGTGTTCCACGTTAGTTTATCGGTAAATAATTTCTATTATGAATGTGTTTCCAATAACATTGTAGTCTTTATTATGACTCTGACTACCTACAAAATTTAAAAACAATGGTATCCATTTACAAGAATTGGATAACTGATGGTAGAACAATTATAATTTGTATAAGCATTTCAAATGTTATAGGAACCAATTAATTATATAAACATTCTCTTGACAGTGTGATAAAGGAGTGGCTGTAAAAGATCATTAAGCATTTTATCATCCAATACCTTTAGAATACGAGCAACTTTTCAGAATTCTGCTTGATATCTATACAAAGACTCTTCGTTTATTTTTAATTTCATCTCATTCTTATGGTTTTGGTCTTGTTAGAGCCCACAGAATTGCCCATATGGCCAACAATGCATGTAACATGGCCTTGTTAGAGCCCATAGAATTGCCTATGGCTACATCAAAGCCAACTACCAAAAGCATCGTTATTTTTTTATCAAAAACATTGAATCAAATTTGATTCGAATTGAGTTGGATACGATACAAACTTCTGTTATTTGGTTGAAGTGAGATGACTTATGATGTTGGAATATTTGGAGTTCACATATCCTTGATCATCTTCTCAATAATTTACAACATCAAATTCAGTGCAAATATATCTAATGGTCAATGAAAAGATACCTTGAATATTTCTCCTGCTTCAGACTTTTGGTTAAGCAGATGAGATAAGATTCAACATTTCGAGTAATCCAGACAATTAAAGACACTAGATACCTAATGGTCAATTAAAAGATTGAACATCATTAACAACTGGAATTTGCACTATATGAATATATACCCCATCTATATTATTTTTTAGGGGACACAATCATCTCTACAGTTTTGAGACAAAGCCTAATTAAGTTACCAGATCATGTACAAGCAGTTTAAAACTCAGTCGAGAAAAACATCGAGTCGTGGAATCATTGCCAATCGTTTACCACTGTGTGGGTGTTGGGTTCATGCAATATCCTATAGTTACGAAGAAATGATGCGACGGGAGCTGGTAGATAGCATATCAACAATGTTTTTGATTTCTTTCTACAATTAAGAAGGAGCCATCTAGTTATGATTCGTATTGCTCGTAAACAAAGAATATAGTGAAGGAGAAGACCAGAGTTGCGTAAAATTTCCAAAAAAGGTCAATTTGATGAAAATATATTGAGATATCAAATCATGGTAGAACAACTAAATTAAAAATTCCTTACCTACGGCTATCAAGGCAGTTAAGGATGATTGCAAAAGAATTAGCTTGAGAAGATAAAGTGCAAGTACCACCTGAATCGATTTCAAAACAGTGAAAGCCCAAAATTTGACGAAGCAAATATCTAGCATAGAGCAAAAGAGATAAAGGATAACAACATAATTTGATGTTAGATCTACACCCATCAAATAACAAATATTTACTACAACAATTTCCAATTGTAAGAATAGCAAGGGAGAAAATAACTTATAATTAACCAGTAATCGTATTTATTATGATCCCGGAGGATCATAATGCCAAAATTCCAAATTTTACATGAAACATGAGAACAGAGAACTTTAATGTAACATGCAAGGCAGAAGAATCAGTGTCAAAATATACCTTGATGAAGTTATTCACATCATCTCCTTTAGCCAATGTTCTAAAATTCCAAATCCCCCCGTTCCACAAAAATGCTATTCTTGCCATTGAATTTTTATTAGAGTTTTTGAGATCTCAAAACTAGACAAAGGTATGTTTGGAACTTTGAGACCAAATATGTAGAGAAAGCATATCACATAGTCGAACAGACCTGAAAAATCTTCCAAACAATCAACTTGACGATATAACCACATAAACTGATAAAAGCAAGAGGATAGTGAAGGCAAAAGCTTGCATCTCTAATAAAAATCATATAAACATAAATTTTAATGCTAAATCACTTCAGATTCTGGACTATAAACTAAGTAATTCCTGAACAAATCAAGAAAAGAAGAAGTAGAGCATCCCAGATGCATTGTGTCAAAGAATTTTAGAAAGTAAATAACGAGCTTTCAACAAGTGTGAAAAAATGGTCAACTGTTGGAAGACCGATAAAACCAGGGAAAAGAAAAAGATTTTACACCACAAACTTTTGTACTTACATGTTTGATGGTAAAAAGCCATATCCAAAAAGAGCAATTGAGACCAACAATAGAAGGTTGGCTGCAGACAAGGTAAAAGTTCTTCCAACAAGGAAAAACCAGTAAAACAACACAACCAGAGCGATAAAGCATGTAAATGATTTCTTCTCATCTCTCCAAAGCAAAATGTCTGCAATTGCAGCAACAAAGTTCAACGTCAATTTACAGTGGTAATCATATAATGAACTTGATATACAAAGCCCATTGAAATGTACCATATCGAAAATGATGAACTAATAAAATCTAACTTAGAAACGTGTTCCACAAAGCAAGCTATTTTAGTGAATATCAGTAGTTGTATTTTACTTAATTTGGGCAATTTATTGCACATAAGCTTTCAGTTGCAATAACACGCAAAAATGCCTCATTCATCAATACAAAAAGAAATATACAGAACCAATTAACATATATCCTTCGGACAGTGATACATGACATAAGTAGATATCAAGTATCAGACAGTAACTTGAGTGCTGATGCAAATTATTAGGGCTTGTACCGAGCAAAACCCAGCAAAAATATTTTTTATATACCTGGAACAGTTTTGATGTTCCTATCATGTTGATATCAAGCCACTAGGTTTGCCACCCAACATAACCAAGTGAACTCTAATAGACTTATAAGAAAGTATTCTTCAGCCATACAATTTCAAAAGGTTCACTTTAGAGTCTATTTAGAGAAATTTCTCATGTTATAAGCTCTAACCTTTGCCACCGCCTAGCAGTTTTTCCACTTTCGATTGTTCATTTAAGTCATTGTAATGCGCTAAAGGTGAGTCCTTGGCTAAGTAAGAGAATGATTCAATGGTTGAAGAGACACCTTCCTGCATAACCAACAATTATCACAAACATAAGATGTCAGACCTTAAAATTTCTGCATCCTATTCAAACACATCATGACAAAATACTCCTTAATGATATGTCATCTAGAAAATGGAGAAGTTGCCTCCATATTACCATGTGCTATGTAGTGGAATCAGTTAATATGAGTATAGATCCAAAACTATTTTGGCAAGAAGTTGAAGACAGAGAATGGTAATGGGAAAGAGAACATGATAGTCCTTTCATCCATTTGTTAAGTTAGATGAAGGACTTACAAATACATTTCTATGATAGCTATGTTTTTTTTTTTTTTTTTAATGAACTATGTTGGGCATTTACATGCTTGTCTTGGTTGGAATACCTTGAGAAAATCTGTTGTTTGTATAAAGTCTTAAAGTGAAAGAGGTTGTGGAAGTGTTAGAGAATGACGTATTGTACTTTAATGAAGATTGGTAAGATGACTCAAGTATCCTTCTTCTAGTAAGGCAATCTATGCAATTGTTTTGGGTGAATGACATTAGAAGTGAGATTAAGGGTAGTTAAATGTGTTGGAAAATTGTATGAGAACAAAACAAGGCAAGGATAGAGGAATATGACTTTAGGAAACGAAAGGGAAATTGTGATCGTGATATGCTAAAGTATTTAAGAATGTTCCACGTCAAATGATTTTGTCGGGCAGTTGTGCAACAACAGTGTTGGAATAACATAGAATAACAATATATCCTAACAAATCCCAAGATCATAGTCACCATTCAATCACATTTACATATAAATGAACTATAATGAATTACCACAGCATAAATACCTCTTCCTTATCTGAAGCAACAAAGTAATCTGGAAGAAAACCCCGAAGTGTAATTTTGTTTTTCACATTCTAGAGAGAGAGAGCGTATTTTTCTTGCGTATTGGTGTGTGTTGTAGTGAGTAATGTTTTCTAAAAGAAAAAACCTTCCTTTTATATGGGAACGGTTGTGAGAAAATGCTTTGGCAGTTCCATCTCACACCCCTTCCATGGGTGTATTTATCCAATATCTCCCACTCACACATGATGGGACTTTTCTCTCTGTGCTTTTTTAAGGTTCATACTTTAGTAAATTGTCGTGTGACCATGCATACTTCGAGAGCACGTTAGTCAAATATCTGTTAGGAATATATAACTTCTTGAATTGTGAAACACAGGTTGTATGTTATATACAATAACCTAGATTACTTATCACATTTTTCTACACATCTCATTTACAAAAAAATATTGTGTATTATAATATGTTTATCTTTACATAAAAGTAAAACATAATTGGTCGACCAATGAATACACGTGAGTTAGTGTGATAATTCAAAATTGTAATCTTC